TCACTTTCAGGTACAAATTTTGTGACAACTGTTGGTCAATGTCATATGTACTAATCACTGTCGGTTCTGTCATAAGAGAAGTGATTGTCCTATGGGGGAAATCATACTAGTTACAATCCCAAGTTAATTTTTATCAAATCAATGTCCATGGATTTCATACATGACCTTGTTGAATTTCTAAGCATAGTAAGTAATCCATATGACAATAAAAAGGTATTCATCAAAACCTTTTAAGGCAACAGAATTTTCAATTCATGCTGAAATATTAAAATTAACCTTTTTTCCTTCTGAAGACTCAACATACACTGGGTGTGTCAAGGGAGTAAAAACTACTGTTATACATAAGTGATGCCAAACATCTGCATCAGGAATAAACTGTACATCAGTTGGATGTTTCCAAAAAGGCGGAGGTTGAGAAACATATAGAGACCTCCATATTATTCCCTGACTTTTTCACTCTTTTCAGAATTTACTATGTTATTTAGATACAGACAAAATGTAAAAAAAAAAAACCCACATTCTAGGAAAATATTTTCTTGATATTTTATCTCCTCCATAACTTCTGCCCGCCCCCCAACACATTGCCACTACCAAATAAATAAGTAAGCAAGCAAATGAATAAATAAACGGACTTATTTTCTAGATTATGCCAAAAATTAAACAGAATTATAGATACAAGTAAAAGATAGATAAACCCATTTCTTACTGAAACACCACTTACAGCACACTCAAAGCGATGACATGGGCTTCAGCAGGCAGCTCTAACTGCAGACACAGGTGGTATTAGAAAGGCAGACGATAGAAAAAGAAGAGGTTACTGCCTGGCCTGTCTCAAGGGAACAAGTTTATGTACAAAAAATGTGACTAGATATATAGTTAAAATACTAAACAAAAATTGCTAGAGAAGCAGATAAAAGTGAAAACACTATAAAAAATATATTCTTCTATTTCATAAGTCAAACCCAAGCTCCTCAAGTTAAAGTTGGGTCCTAAGATGTCAACTGTGTTGGGTAGATCTGAGTCTCAGCCTGGAACTTTCTTTCCTGGGATGCATCACTGTGGTTTTTGACTTTACATCTGTAGCAGTAACTTAGATTCTATTTATTCCAAAATGAATTTCATGCTCAACTTGTTTTTCTTAATTAAACTTCCTTTAGTGGTTCCTAATATGTGTATTATTGAAACTCATTAGTCCCATTCACGCTCGCCTGTCAATTTTTGGCTACACATTTATATACTGAAGTGCTCTGTTGCTATCTATAGTAAGAAAATTAAATAATAAATATGGGGACTTGAACGTTTTATGAGTGTCAGAATGAGAGAGTGCCTGCAAGGCCCATAAGGTTTCACACAAAAGAGGCATTACTGCGATAGCTAACATGCTGACACATCTCTGATCTATAAAGTCTGCAGTAATGGCAGCAGTAAAGCGTCCTGCCATTGACTAGAATTTCTCTTACATGCAACGGAAATAGGCACAGAAGAGATTATATTGACTGTCATAAAAAGAATTCATATAAAATCCCCCCAAATGTTTAATCATTTCAAATGTCTGGAGTGATTTACTCGTTTTCTCTGACTTCAGTTAAGCTTAGAGTTGGCACTCTCTCTTTCCCATAGGTTTGCTATCAAATAGGTATAGTTTTGGGGGCAGGGGGCAAGGGGAATCTTAAAGGCAGGGATAATTCATAGCATCATAGCAATATTTGACATTGGCAATGTGATTTCATTAATAACAAAGCGAAAGTAATCAAACCTGTAACTGTTAAGGAATCATTCTTCTTAGAAATAGTGGGGAATGTTGCTATCCCATAAGATTAAGCCGTTAGTTCCCTCAAAGTATTTCAAATTATCTTTGCAAATGTATTAAAAATGACACTCTAGATTCATCATGAGTGCTCACTATTTTGTTTGTTGTTGTTTTTAGTTTTTATGGGCTTTGCAAATTTGAGATACTCAAAATTAAAATTTTAAATGAACTGAAAGTTGGGCTTTTTTTTTGCATTTTCAATAAAGCAAAAGAGATGAGAGATTTGCATTGGGGATGCCATTTGTTAAACATCTACAAATCATTAAAAAAGGATTGCCCTTTTCATTTTGCTTTCAGTCGATTGTGCAGTAATTTAATTTTTAAAAATTAGTTAATGTAGAATAACATTTAACTGTATCTAATCATCTCAAAATCAAAGGAAGCTACAGCAAATGTGTTATCTCCCCCTGAATGTTAGGCCACTTGGAACACATGGGAGGCTTTCGAGGGACAGGTGCAGCTGTCAAGTGAAGCTCCAGTAAATGAAACACTCATTTTTCAAGTTTTGGGGAACCCAGTGCCATTTCTTGTCACATACGTTAGAAACTGTGCTTGCGATTTTTAGGGCTCATTGAGAGCTTCCATTCCTTTACTCCAAACTACCACATTCTGTGTTATTTGTAGCCAAGTTGGATCAGCTAAAAGCCACCATGTTCTTTTTAATAATCCTGAACAAAAATAGGCATTTGAATGTAAAGCAAAATGTAATTTTCTAAGTGAACTCTCCAGGTTTTTCAGTAGTTCTCCACACTGAAAATTGCAAGATTTTCAATGCAAATGTTCTCTACTCTATTCATGGAGAACATGTATGAAATGGGGTACCTTGCTCTTCACTTACTGGCTGCAGTTTTAAAAACTTTTATGGTGTGTGGTTTTGTTTATTTCCATTGTTATTGACCTTCCAAAGTGAATTTACCACCTACGAAGTTCATCAAAGTTTTTCATACAAACTGTTTGTAGAAACCAAAGGGTAGGCCAAAGTTTCCCCCTTTTCATTCTCTCTGCCAAAAGAGAATAGAATGAGGGAGTAGGAAGTACTGACTACTCTTGAGAGAGAAAAATATTGTTCAAACAAGAAAAGGCACTTTAAGCTCAATTTTCTTCTTTAGCACTATGGGGCATGCCATGACCACTGGCTCAAAGATTGCAAAATATGCAAATTAACTTTGAACAGGACCTCCTTTTTCATGTTCCATATTCTTCATTCACTTTCATATCAACATTGCCTTATCTTTTGGCCTAAAAAGAGAAATCCCAGACTACCTCCTATTCACCTTCACTATTTATTTAATATTATCATTTATTATGTTATTTACTAGCTGCCTTCTTCTGTTGATTTAATTTTTCTAAAAGGTGTTACATGTTAATGGACTGTGTAGCTAGAAACAGCAGCTAGAAATGTACCAATACACAGAACATCCATTCTTCTAGTTCACACTGCACAAGAAACCATGTGACTCAGCTGTGCAAAATAAAAGGCAAACCTAGCCATTCAGATACCTCCTTAAAACTAACCATTGGGCTTGTAGAAACCATTTCTTGCTATTGCTATCATTTTGAGACAAGCTTACACAAAGTCTGCAGGAATAAAAACTAACTTCCCCTGTAGAATTCTTGGGAGACAAGTTATATATTTTGCTATTTCATCCTAAAAAGAAAAGAAAAAGAAATAGCATGTTCCTATCTCAAGATTTAGATTTAAGAAACACACACATACACACAAATCCAGGAAGAAAGTTTGGCGAGGCTCCCCTCTTAATGCCCGAATGCCGGGTGCACCTGGAATGCTTAAGGTAAGTACTGGCACGATGAGTGCTTCAGATGACATTGAGGAGTTGCCTTCTAATGAGTTCAGAAATAATGAAGAGGCTTCCATGCTAAAACCATAACTGTATCTACATGCATTTCATAATCTGTAAACAGAAACCCCTGAAAAAAATATTTGATGCTTTTCTTCAAAACGTTAAAATGTACACAACACATTATTTGCCAGTTTAAGGAGTATCTATCTCCATTTTATTCTAATGCATGTGAATGTCAGAAGGTTTAAAATTTAAAGAATTGCCCTTACATTTAAAAAGCCAACTAAAATTATAATGCTGACCTGTCAGAAGGATGGGGGTGTTCATTAACCTATTAACCTATCCATTAACCTATTCGTATATCTAGATAGCCAGGTACATATTTCAAATGAATCATTTTCTCTGTTATTGTTCCAAACCTATGTGGGTTGCAAAACTGGTTTAGAATAATATGCTTTCCTTGATTCCAAAGCAACTTTTAGTTTCTTGACTCAATTAATAGTCACTCCTTTGAGTGATTAATTTTAATTATATCTGCTAAAATGCAGTTTCCTTCTGCAAATAAAAAATGAGCTTTTCTCGAGGTACAAAATATTCTTTTTTAAAAAAAAATCGCCCTGAATTCTGCTGCAAGAAAATGGGAACGCGCGCGCGCTGCGCTCAGTCAGAAAGAAAACCCAGCAAGTGGCGAGGCAGGCAGGGCAGGGATGCATCAGAAATGCAGCTGCCTCCTGGCGCACTCGCCAGCCTGGGCCCTGGCAGAAAGCTGCAGCGCCTTCCTGGGCTCGTCCGACTCCAGAAAGTTACCTCGGACTGTAATATGCAAAGTCGTGCGAGCGAATTACAAGACAACATGTGTGGCCAGTCACTCCCTTCTGCCTCTATCCCATGCAGTGACCCTGTAACCCTTTAGTGATAGGCTGGAGGGGGAAGGAGGGAGAGGAAAGGGGAAGGGAGAAAGAGACAATGCGAAAACGGCCAATTCCCTCTGCAAAATTCCCTGAGAAGCCAAGACAGCCACGGACACCGCGCCGAGGCAGCCGCGATTTCCACCGGGGCTTTCCCCCTCCACTTGCGGGTTCCCAAGGCATCCCTGCCGCTTCTCCTTAAAGTCTCACTAGGAGGAAGCTCTGCATCCGGAAGGGATCTCCCAGCGGAAAGATTTTCAATGAAAAGTTGAGAGCTTGGAGGGTTGCTTGGCTTCCCCACAAAATAGGGTTTTTAAGCTCGATCTAGGCAGCTCCCTAATGATCCACCCGGAGATGCGCGAGGTGCTTTTGCATCCCCCCTTCCCTCCCCATTTCACCGGCACCGCGGCCGCAGCACCTTCCGCGCAGAGGCACCCGAACCCCCGCAGCCCCCTCCTAATAAAAGAGCCCCAGACTTACCCTCAGTAAGACAAATCCACCGAGGGGCACCCCTCATCTTCCCCAGTCCCCTTCCAACCAGTCAAGGAGACAGTTTCTACAACACTTCGCCTTCGAATTCAAGCTGAATCAGTCAAAGTATTTACCAGTTTCTAGTCCCCCTTTTTGTTTTGGAATCTTGAAACACCCCCCTCCCCGAAATAGTGTTTCAGAATTCAAGATGCTTCCTTTATTTATTTTTTCTTCTTCTTTAAGCAGCCGCAACCCCAGTGTTGCGCCCCCCCCGCTCCTTTTTTCTTTTTCTTTTTTCTTTTCTTTTCTTTTTTTTTTTTTTATTCACCCACGGACACTTCCAAAACGTGCCAATTGATCCTTTTTTCTCTCCAGCTGCAACCGGGATCCAGAATCCTGGGGACCCAAAGCCACCTCCATGGAGATCCGACCATCAGGCAAGAAATACAAATGATCAAACAACGTTACTTCTTTCAGCTGCAATCAGATAATCCTACTAATCCAATAGATTTATCTCGATTGGAAATTGACCTCAAAAATGAATCCCCGGTGCTGATGTCCAACAGAGAGAGGAATTCGTAGCCCTGTCCGTGTGACCGAAAGGACTGTGGTTTCTTTCTTTCCTTCTTTCTTCTTTTTAAAAAATCTTTTTTGGATTCTGGGTGCACTGCTCGCAAAAATGCCGAGGACCCTGGTTTTCCCCTAATATAGGTTTCTACTTCAAATCAGTGCCGGATGAAAAATGGTACAAAGATACCCCTAGTGGCTCGATGTGATATTGCAGGAATCTCACTTTCCCAATCCCCTCTCCTCACCTTTTTTTTTCCTCCTCCCCTCCCCTTGTATATAACTGACTGCTATAGTAGTTAAACAAGAAGGCTGAATGAAGATTAACATGAATAGTATATGATTACTTGAAAAAAATCATCTGATCTTTTTTTGTTTTACTTTGAAGACTGAATTTTCTGTGCTTGTCTCCCCAGTATCTATCTTTTTTCTACATAATTTTCCCCAGTGGGACAGCTACTGATTTCAAAGCAAGTGTATTTGTTTCTTGAACAACTAGATATCAAAGGAAGCTTCAGTTTTCCTGAATATACTACTTCTAGAAAAACTCGACATTTTGTTTCCTTTAAAGAAATATGTGTGTGTGTGTGTGTGTGTGTGTGCGTGTGTATTACACAATCTCTTCTCATTTTGGACTTTTGATGTTCCTTCAGCAAAGCAGATTATGGCTGCTGTGAGCCTGTGGTGGAAGAGCATGGCCTAAGGGTCATTATATGGGCCTCAATGTTTCTTGCTTGTATCCTTTGCAATTCAAGGACCTCAAGCTTACGACTACCATTTTGAAGGTTTTAGATAAAATGAGCCAATGCAGTACATTTTAGGCCTCCTTTTTCGGTAAGTAATACTTCCCAGACTTACTATGCCTACCAATAACCCATGAATCTTTTAATAATGAGGATTATGATTGTGTGGGACCAGGGAAGGAATGAGATTCTGCATTTCTAACAAGCCCTCTGACCACACTCTGATCATCAAGGGCCTAGTAAACTGGGCAAGTTGGATCCTCTTTCATGCTGGTGGGTTCAGAGACTGCAAGGATTCCAAGATCTTGTCATTAACTGACTAAATAATTAAGCCTTTTGAGTGTGGGAGCTGTTAAGGCAGTGGTTCTCAACTTTGGCTGCACATTAGAATCTCCTGGGAATCTTTTTAAAATCTTGATTTCTGAGCCTCATCCTCCAGAAACTCTGTTTCTTTGTTATGGGGTGGGGCCACATTAGCAACAAAGAAACAGAATTTTCAGAGGATGAGGCCCAGAAATCAGGATTTTAAAAAGATTCCCAGGTGATTCTAATGTGCAGCCAAGTTTGAGAACCACTGTGTTAAGGAGTCAAAAGACCTTCCTTTTACTACTTGGTTTTGCTATTAACTAGCTATGTGATAGCAGTTTTGAGCCCATACTAAATCATTAAAATAAAAGAATAAACCAAAATAAATGAACAAATATACCTGTTTCTGGATGGGAGACTCAATACTGTAAATTAATCTATAAAATGAATGTAATATTATAAAAATACCACTATAATTTTTCATGGAACTTGGAAGTTAATTCTTATAAGTACTGCGCGCTAACCGATTGCGCCACTGGAGCTTCGTTGGAAGTTAATTCTAATATGTGTTTGTAAAAGCAAAGGGTCAAAACTTGTCGATACAATTTTAAAGAACATGTAATAGGGAATTTCCTTATGAACTATTAAGGCTTAATATAAAATGACAGCAATTGAAGCAATGTAGCCTTGCTTCAGAAACACAAAATGGTTCATTACAATAGTGGGATCAGAAATATATTGCTGAATTTATAGAAACTTGATAAATAGATTGCATTAGGGAGCAGTGCAAATAAAATAATTATTCACACAATAAATTAGATATATGAAAATATTATAATACTAGCTCTCCACACCTAAATATGTATTTGAGGTGGAATAAAGACTTAAAGATGCAGAGCAAAGTTTTAAAACATTTAGAAAAAGATAACTAATGATTTGGGGCAGATTGGAAGAGAAGGGTCTATTAACCATTAAGACATAAAAAGTGAAGTCCATAAAGAAAAAAATATTAAATTTGATATATTAAGATGGAAAGTGGTACTCCACTTTGATAGGTCTTCATAAAGCAAATATCCCAGTTTCAGGCTATTCCAATGAGGAGTGTGAGTTCAGGGCTAAATAACATTAATATAATAAAATTAAGTAATTAAAGCAGGACCCCAAATTTATATTATATATATATATATATATATATATATATATATACACACATATATGCATATATATACATATATATATATCTATGTATATATTCCCAATTGTGATTTTTCTTAAGCATTACTGTCTTTCATAAAATCTGACACTATTAATATTAAGATGCATCCCAATTTTAGTGGTGTTAAAATGTAAAAAGAAAATCATCTTAGAATTTACCTAATGTAGTAATTCCTTTTTAAATCAGTAATCCATAACTCTTTTCTCTCCCTGGAACCTGAGAAAGTAATATATTTATCAGTTATAGCAAATCCCTATAGCAAAATCTATGATGTGGAGATATATTGAAATCTTTTGAAATAGGTGCTATACTGTTGGTATAAGTTTTTTTAAAAGATGAAAAATTCATTTACATCAAAGAAGTCAAGGCATAGATTGAGAGAGGATATTTGTTATACATGTGACCAAAACAGGATTAGTATATAAAGCTTTCTTATAAATCTATAAAGACAAATGATTGGGAGAAAAAAATGGGCTGAAAAGAAGAACAATTGATAGAAGAAAATTTGCAATGTCCAGTAGACATATGTAAAAGGTATTTAATTTCCCTAGTTATTAAAGAAATGCAAGTTAAAATGATGGGATATCATGTCACAACTATGAAATTGGCAAAAGTTTGGTAAGTCCAATAATACAAAATATTGATGAGGACGTGGAGTATCCATGGAGAGTATATAATAGGGCAACAACTTCAGAAAACAATTTAGTGGTATTTGAAGACTTGCATACCCTAAAGTCCAGTCTTCCACCTTTGTGTACTTCTCCACTCATGTATAGAAAATACCCATTACAGAATTACTCGAAAAACAAACCAACAAAAGGAAATAATCGAAATGCCTTGGGTTAAAAAAGTGAGTAATTTATAGACTATTCACATACTGCAACACTGCATTAAGTGCGGTAAAAAGAAAAAGGAACACACTAAAGCTACTTGAGTGAAATCGGATTCATCTCAAAAATGTAATGTGAAGCAGCAACAACAAAAGCAGGTTGCAAAAAAAAGGTGATAACATTTACAAATCGAATTAAAAAAACATGCAAAATAATTATATATATATTATTTTTGAACATTTGTACATGTAGCTAAAGTGTATGCACATGCATAATAATAATAAACATAAAATTCAGGGTAGAAGTCATGCCTGGGAAGAACAGAGTTTAATGAAATTGAGAAGGCATCACAGTGAGTTTCAGCCATATCTTCAGTGCTTTATTTTCCAGGCTGATTCTTGAGTACACAGGTGTTTATAATATTACATATAAATTGTTTGTATGCCTGAATTATTTTATTGAAATGAAATATTTAAGCCCTTATACTATTAGAAAATTTTCTAATTAGAATAAGTATATGTAGAAGTGAAGAAAACAGTAAGGAATTTTGGAATATCATGATGTGACTTCAATATAGAGAATTTAAAAAATCTGAAGTAGAAATGGGTAGATGCTTTTTTATTTCTAAAATGGAAATAAGAATTTTCAGCTAGCAAGCAAAAATCACCACCAAAATGAGAACAATGTGATTGAAATAGGAGGTAAAATGTAACCCTCAATTTGCTCTATCTTGTATTTATCATTTGATCTCACATATGATACCTCATGTATAGTGACAGCAGGACCTCTGAATTTGTAAAATATTCAATCAATTGATTATGTTCAGTTCTGACCATGTTCAGAGACTTCCCTGTAAGAACAGTGACCACCAAAAGCGGGAATAGCCCTAAGCCAAACCACAACACAAAAGATAATTCTTCCAGAATATTTAAAATGCAAATAGGAAGGCTTTGTTTATATAAAATATGAAAACTGGAAATCTCATTTCAAATTCACTGAATAGTATTTTTTGTAATTCAAGAAAAATAGGAACACATACCAAATATTTAAGTATAATTCTGTTTTAGAGTCCAATCTCAGAAATAAAATAGATTAGTAGGTAATATTACCCACCTCATGCTGAACTCAGGCAAGATGCCTGGACAAATCATCAAACAACCCATTTTTAAACATTCAGAACAGTGTTCCTGAGCAATAAACAAAGCAGCACTGTGATAAAGAAAGAGTCAGAGGACAATTTAATTTCCTTTGATGATAGAGTAGACAAAGGGGAAGAAATAGATGTAATATTTCTGAAATTTGGAGAAGTTGACATTCTTTCAACAACTACTTATTGAAAACTATCTCTGGGGCAAAGCACAAAGTATTTCATAGGAGAGCTGACTTTAAAACAAACAACCACCACAAACCCTGACTTTGCTACTAATAAGTTAATTTGTTGATTGTAAATGGCTAGTAGTTACTTTGAATTGGCACTTAACTATCCATACCAAAGATTGGATATTAGATGCTAATACAGAACTGAAGGTTCATTTTCAGTGTATTTAAGTACAAATTGGTTTGAAGGTTAAGATAGTCAATGAAAGAAGAAGAATAAAAGAAGGAGAAGTAGGATAATAAGTATGAAATATGAATCAAACTCATGTATTCCTTTGGTGATTTAATTTACAGAGAGGAAGTAAGTTTCTTAATCTTTGTGTCCCTCAAAGTACAAATGATTAATAAATGAATGACAAAGAGTGAAACTAGTTGGTACATGAAAAAAAAATCTCTTTTATTGATGGCCTTTCTAATCTCTTTTCAGAGAATGAAATTAATAGAGAATGTAAGTAAAAAAATCGCTATGACTAACAATAATGAGAAATAAAAGACCAAGATTGGCAAACTTGAGTGTCATTTGAGATATGAGATTCCAATTTGATTATGTCACTAAAATCTTAGCTGTGTGAAACCTGAAAGCAGGATTACACATCCCATTTTGTTTTCTATACTTTGAACAAACAAAAAGAAAGATTGACTAATACCAATGGATCATGTAAAGAAATGGCATGGATTTACAGA